TATGCACAAACAATGAATCATGGAACACTTCATCTAAAACTAATGATGTAATGTATGGGGATTAACATAAGAATAAAAAAAAGAAAAAAAAAAAAAACACTGAACAACAGATAATGGGCTACGAAGAAATACTTAGCAGCCATCCTTGTCCCCAGTTCTCTTCTCCCATCACCCTGGGTTCTACAATAACCTAATGCCATATTCCATTTTCTAGCATCGGGGCTCGAGGGGCGGAGGAGGAAAGAAAGAAATTTGTCCGCACATTTGCTCTGCTTGAAAGATGCCGGTCCATGGCAGAATGTGAAATTCAGATTTTTCAGTATTTCCTTAACAGTGCCAGGTTCCAGCTGATTCCCACATGCTCTGTCTAGTTCTGGCTTCATTAGAGCTTGTCAAGCTTAGAGAAAAGGAGCAAGAATAAATAGGTCCTCAGAAAGGTCTAATTACGAAGGCCTCTCCTCATACCGCAGGACGGAGACTCCGAGTATGAATGAACGACCCACTGCCATGGAGAAGCCCAAAGCCAAGGTGATTAGGAAGATGCCTTGCAGGTTCAGAGCTCCCCTAAACAAGCACAACATAATTGCTAAGAAAACAAGACCCAATCCTAGAATGACATATTCACCACCGTACCTTCTTGCCTTCTTCAGACTGTCTGGGTCCATCATCTGGAGACGTCCGCCCTTGACTGCTCACATCCTCCTTGGCATTTCCTGGGTGAGCTGCCCTCCCCAAGCAAGAGAGCAAGATAAACAAATGGGGGTGGCTCCGGGGGAATGGACAATCAAAAGACTAATACACTGGGGACCTCTCCAAAAGCACTGATCACCATGACCCAATTCCATCCTCCCGACTTACACTATGACGCCTGCTATGGTACTCTCCAGAGGACAGGGAAACCTGTCAGGTTTGGGGAGACGGGAGGTGATGGCTCTAGTCAAACATTTCTGAGCTGGGCTATGATCTTTTCTTCCAATTATTCAGACATTAAATGGAGTCAGTTTCCAGTGCTATTTATTCCTAGGCCCTTCTCTTTGCTCACTAGAATTTTTACTCATAAGAGAGCCCATAATCACACTTTCTAATTTAGCCCCCCACCCCCTTTTACCAAATCAGTCCCAACTTGGAAAGGGATGACTTTCTTATCCCACTGTGTGGGATTCCTACACCCCATAATCTCTACGTGGAGGTATGTGTGTGTTGAGAGGGCATTCAGATCCTTTAGGAAAAAAATATTCAGTTTCCCATTTGAGCTGAAAATGCAAATGAAACACATTTTTCAGGGCACCTGGGTGGCTCAGTCAGTTAAGAATCCAACTCTTGATCTCAGCTCAGGACTTGATCTCAGGGTCATGAGTTCAAGCCCCGCACTGGGCTCCACGCTGGGTGTGGGACCTACTTTATTTATTTTTTTTGAAAGATTTTATTTGACAGAGACACAACGAGAGAAGGAACACAAGCAAGGGCAGTTAGAGAGGGAGAAGCAGGTTTCCCGCTGAGCAGGGAGCCTGATGCAGGGCTCGATCCCAGGACCCTGGGATCACGACCTGAGCCGAAGGCAGACGCTTAACGACTGAGCTACCCAGGCGCCCCAAGGAACCTACTTTAAAAAAAAGGGGGGGGGGCACCTGGGTGGCTCAGTTGGTTGGGCGACTGCCTTCAGCTCGGGTCATGATCCTGGAGGCCCGGGATCAAGTCCCACATCGGGCTCCCTGCTAGGCGGGGAGTCTGCTTCTCCCTCTGACCCTCCCCCTCCCATGCTCTCTGTCTCATTCTCTCTCTCAAATGGATAAATAAAAATCTTTAAAAAATAAAAAAATTTAAAAAAGAAACACTTTTCAAAAAAGAACATATTATTTAGTTGTTACCTATATAGATAAATTATAAAGTTTATTTACAAACTTTATGAATTAGCCAACTTTGGTTTGGCAAAACTGAATCATAAGTATTTAAAAATACCAGCATACTTTAGTGCTTTCTTGGAGTTTCTATATCATGCAGTAATGGTTGCCCACGTACTTCTCTTTGCAAAAATGTAAGCTCATAAATGAGTTCAGAGACTCAGTCAGCCTTATTCACCACTGTATCCTTATCACTTCTGCCAGTGGTCTGGCATTGGTAGATCCTCCATCACAGAAATTTATTGAATGAATGAGAAAATACATGAACAAATGAATAAATGAATGAATGAATGAGAGAATGAAGTAAACAATCCATTATTTTCTACCCTGATGTGTGAAACTGTGTTTTTATGTGGCATGGACTAAAACATGCTAGAAACTACCAAATGTTTACTTGTATTTTATTCCTAACCAATAAAGGTCCAATAATCTTTAAAAATGAATGCTCTAGTTTGGAAGATTCAGGATAAGAATCTGAGAAAGCAACCACACAGGTAGGTCAAAGTAAGTTACCATCCACGAGTTACCATACAGGACACAATAGACGAAAATGGCCACTAGAGGGAACCACACAACCTTTCAAAGAGCAGCATTAGGAAAAATCCATCCAGTAGAGTGGTTCTGCTCTCAGCACTTCCCACCATAGCTCACCACCATAAAATTGCTATTACTACTGCACTATATAATGTCCAACTCACCAGAACAAGCTGAGACAAAGTTAGAGTTGCAGTTTACTAGGATTCAGACTTTTAGAAAAATGACCCCGCCTCCCCAGCTCAAATATTTCACATCTTTTCATGTACACTCTAGCATTAAAAATTAAATGTAAATAGAAGAAAATTATTTGCCCTATGGACGATGTTTGAAACTATTAAAAATTCACCTGGAAAGAAGATAAAACTATAACCTAAAGAATGAAAAAATTAATTTTTAAAGCTGTGTGCAATTACTTCCTGTCTCCAGCCATATTTTTGTAAAGGAACTTTTCAACTGTTGGAGCATTCAATTTCACCTCCTCCAGTAAAGAAACAAGGCATGTGCAAGCTGAGAAGTCACACCAGATAATATTATGATCCTATTGGTCAAGTTTCAAAGGCTTCATATGTAACTGAGTGTAGGAAGAAAAAAATTTCCCACAAACTCCTTCTCTCAAAAGTTCTGAAAACCCTGTAAATATTTTCAGGGCCATTAAAAGCCACAGATGTTATCAATAGGCAAGATCCATGCAAACTTTAAAAGACCTAGTCCATAAAGGCCGCAGCTTCAAAAACAGATTTTGAAACATTTGAAAGGAGCACAAGCTAATTTCCCTTTGGAACAATGTAAAATGTCCATGCCTTACTTAGAACGTAAAAAGCAATTGGCTCCAAAAATAAAAAATAAAAAATAAAAAATAAAAAAAAGCAATTGGCTCCACTGGGCTTCTTGCTTACAGTTCTATTTCTACAGCACATGAAATTGTAGGAAACCTCCAAAATAACAGTCAGAAATAAAGGAACAAAAGATAGAACTTGAAAAACAGAACAATTCAAGAAAGCAACTCTAAGAATAACTGATTAAAAACTAAAATTAAATTAAATGGCTGTGTGAGATTTCCAAGGCAAGAGAAGATTCCAGAACCTGCACTGTTTGGTGACCTGTGGGAAAACCTAATGGGCTAACACTTGCAGATTTCCAAGAAGGCAGACAGACCAGAAACTGAGAAACTGCAGAGCATCTGGGCTAATCTGTGATTGCATTTGCAGCCCCCACTCACCAACCCGGAAAAAACCTGAAATGTCAGTGCTGACAAAATTGTTACAAGATGAAGCTGGCTGGCTGAAAACCTTCCTGAGTGAATTAAAATCCTGACTGCTGGCCCCAGGGGAGACAGAAGTTGTGGGTGAAAACTGGGAACTAGCCATGATTTACACAGGGAGTGAAAAGATCATAATTTAGATTTTTTTTAATTACATAGTTTTAGTAATCTAATTATATCATAATTATAATGATGACCCTTCTTCCTTCAAAGGACTCCAAGCATGCTTCTGGAACATTCTCTGTGAAAGTTCCCTCATTTGCTGCTTTAAAGAGAGAGTTGGCAAATCTCACAGAGTGAGTTAAAGTGACAGGTCTGGCATCTGACTTCCAGCTCAGTTTCCTGTGACCAGACCACACCAACTCTCAGCTCTTGAAATAACCCCCAGCGGAATTCTCTTCGGAGGACAGCAATCTCCCCAATTATGAGAAAACGCCCTCCCCTTCTTTACCCCCCTCTGGCCTGTGCAATTTCCACATTATTTCCACATTCGGATTCACAAACTTTTTTTTTTTTTTTCATTCCCAGCCAAGGAACTGCAACATCCAAGACACAAAGGCCTTGTCCACGTGGGAGCTGCAGGCTCATTTGTAAAGCTCCTGGATAAACCTAAACCCGCACGGCTGTTCACCTTAGTGCATGGGGATCCGGGCCAGCTCCCCCTTCATTTCTAACTGTGGATGCCACAGGGCAAGTCATTTAACCACCTCATTAGGATCGTAGTCACAGCCCTGCCATGGCCTCCTTCTCAGGTGCCTGGTCACCCCATTAATATCTGTAAAGATCCATTAAGTCTTCTAGCTGAAAGGCACCATAAAAGCAAAACCTATCACTGTTATCATCAATAAACTCCAAGGCGCTCTTCCCTGTCACGACCTAAGGTAAATCAGTTACCCACTGCCCCCTAATGAGCTACCTGCAGCCTGGGATGTTGCATTTGATGCTGACCAGAGCTTCCTTTCCCAGCAGGGAAGAAAAGCCAGGGCTTTCACTTTGGCCAGTGAACTTAAAACTCTTAGAACCTCCTGCACCTCCCACCCATACACCGCACCTGCAGCCTCACGGGCTTTGCACGGATTCGGCCCTGCCTCCAGGGACCCTCACCTTGAGCACTGAGCTAAGAACCACCAGCAGTGTGCAATCCATGCTCAACGTGGGAGAGGTGGAAGACACACTGTTAAAAAGTAACTTGGAGAACCAGACACCAGTATGTCTGGTCTTCCCAGCCGCTGCCTCCCTTTGGGACCCTCCACCTGTTCTCATTGCTCGAAAACCCCCTCCATCAACACCCCGCCAGCAAACTCACCAAGGAGCTCTAACACCCCAAACTGAGGACAGTGTCTGTCTGTAACCGGGGCTGCCCAAATAAACAACATCTCCACCCAGCAGCATACTATGCTGCCAGTAAAAAGGACAGGAAGGACAAGGTACTCCTTTGCAGAATGCTACCTATGAAACGCTACCATTTACGGATGCGTGTCATCTCCCACAAGGGTGGCCGGAGGGGGCATGGAAGGCTGGCTCTTCAGAGTAAACCCTTGTGTGGCTTTCCAATTGTTAACCAGGTGCACACATTCATCTAGGTTTCAGAGATCCTTCTAATTATAAACGAGGAGCCCCTCCGTCCCTGGGAGCTTCTGATTTAGCTAAACTGGGGGAGATCTAGCGCAAGGTTTAGAAGGTGTGGTTCGTTCAGGAAAGGACGGTGGGCCAAGGACAAGAAGCCCCCACTCTGGTCTCCCTCCCCCCTCGGTTCTTGCAACATTAAACATAACACCTGTACCGGCCTGACTCCATCAGCACGCATTAACCCGGGCTTCAAAGGGCACGGCGCTCACTGCGACTCACAGTCTGGAGGTCTTGACTGCTGCAGTTGAACCTTCAGCCAGATGCTGCCTCGCTGGCCCCAGGCTCCTGGGGGCTCCACCTCCCACAGGCGACCCCGCTCCTCCGGGTGGGCCAACAGGAACTTCCTGCAGACTGAGGATGCGCACTGTGAGCCAGGAAGGCCCGCCCCCTTCTGCCTCTCAAGGCACTTCCGGTTCCTGGTGAGGCCCCGCCCACCCCACCCTGGCTCACCGCTCTGATCCTGTTCCGCACAAACCACCGTTTCACCTTCTCACCTGCCACTTGGTGCTCCCACTTTCACCTACCCCCATCTTAGCTTGGGGCCGCCATAACAGAACGCCACACAATGGGGGGCTTCAACAACAGACTCGCTGTCTCAGGGAAGGGAGTCCCACCTCCGGATGTAGGCAGAGGCTCGCTGAGGGCCGCCTTGTCGCTGTACCTTCACGGGGTCTTCCCTCTATACCTCTGTGTCCCGGCCCCTCTTATAAATAAGAACCTCTTCTTACCAGTCTACTGGATCAGAGCCCCACTCATATGACCTCACTTAATCACCTCTTTAATGGCCCCACCTCCACACACAGTCACGTGGGGGACTGAAGCTTCAACATAAGACTCGAGGGGACCCAATTAAGGCCATAACATCACCCCACACTGTCCTCTCCTCAGGCACTGTCCTTCCTCCCCCTGAGCCTCCCCAGCTCTCCTCTCCCACAGAACCTTCCAGCACATCCTCTGCAGATGCCTTGATTCCAGAGTCATCTCAAGGCTTATAGACTTCTATGTCCACGTTCACAGGGTGAGCATTTTTCACACGGCAGTGCCCCAAATCCAGCCAAATGGGAAGCTGCTCCTGGTCCTGCAGGTGCCCATGGGGACACCATCAGGCCCTCTCCTAATATTTCCCGGCCCAGGGCAACAGCACAGATGGAAACCTCCAGAGCATGACACTAAGTATTCAGAAAGTGTAAGCCAAGCTAGCAGAGTGCTAGATAGAATGTTCTGCTCTCCTATCTTGACAAATATAACTTCATAACAACAGGGAAAGCCAGTTTCAAATTTAGAATTTCTTGGACTCCTTGGAGTTTTGCACCAGAATGTGGCAATACCAAGAGAGCCGGCCCCCAGCAGGCTGCCCACCTGCTTCTCCTCCTACCCCAGCCCCACACACATACACCACAAGGGGCCTGTGCATACAAATGTGGACACCATGCCCACACTCCATCCACGTCCCACCAGTGGCTGTCCCTGGGGTCTAAAGACATGCAAACTGGTGGCATGGTCCACCCTTAGATGCACAGATCCAGGGATGGAGTCTACTCCAGCCCTCAGCACTACTGGCAGGAATCCTGGAGTCCTAGTACCTTGAGCTGTCTTAGGAGTGGCCTGGACCCAGGAGGAATATCCTTTTGGGCCCACAGACTCCTGACGCCATGGAGAGAGTCACAGCTACAAGGGGGCTCTAAAGAATGGGGCTGTGGACAGGAGTCCCTGTTGTCCATTCAAAGGTACTCAATAAAAGCCAGTCAGTGAAGGGTGCAGTCAGTGCACCTGGACCCAGGCTTGAGCCTCCAGAAGCTTCTTTCTCCACACTCTACCTATTCACCTACATGCCCAGATACAGCCAGGGGTGATATAAAAGCCTGAGGCCCCAGCATCCTCGGCTAGGTAGCTGAAACCCCTAAGACAAGTAGCATGCTTCAGAATCAGCACCTTCATATCTTCTTTCTCTGCAGGGCAGAGAAAGAGGAGGGAGAATAGGGATCCACAGAACACTGCAAGGGTCTCAGCAGAGCTGGCCCTGGAGCAGCCCCCCACCCTTGGAGGCTGCTATTTCCCTGGGAAACCTGAGGTGGCTGCCCTGGGAGACCAATGCACTCAAACAAAGGTCTCAGAGCCGAAGCAAAAATAAGGGGGGGGGGGGCACCTGGGTGGCTCCGTCAGGTAAGCATCTGCCTTCAGCTCGGGTCATGATCCCAGGGTCCTGGGATGGATCCCCACATCTGGCTCCCTGCTCAGCAGGGAGTCTGCTTTTCCCTCTCCCTCTGCCACTCCCCCTGTTTGTGTTCTCTCTCTCTCTCTCTCTCACTCAAATAAGTAAATAAAATCTTAAAAAAAAAATGAGAGGAACAGGACAGGCATGTGGACAGAGAACCAGCTGCCTAGGTTCTGGAACTTTCCAACACCTCAAAGTGAGCAACACAGTGCAGTAAGCCTGGAATGCTCTTTGCAGAAATTCAAGGATCTTCAGAGTTTAATTATAGACCAAGACTTTGGAAATACAAAGAAATGACTAAACCTACTTGAAAATATGTTTCACCTGCTTTTCTTAGGACTTCAGAGCAACAGAAATTTCCTTACCTTTCCTACCTTCTCTCTCTTATCTGTTCTCCCCATATGATAATGGCACTGGAAACTCAATACTAAGGGTCCAAAAACATCTGTATCACAAGAAGTGAAACAGAACCCAATGTGGGGTGGGTGGGCTTCGTGGGTGGGGGGGGGGCACAAAGGGACCCTGGGGAAATACCCACCAGAATCTGCCCTCCTTACTGACTTGGAATGTGATGTTTAATATCAGAGCTTTTTTCATTTCCTCTGACAAATATATATAAAGATTTCTCTTCCAGAATATGGAAAGGGACTGTGACAGTTCACTTTAAGTGCCAACCTGACTGAGCCAAGGGTACCCAGATATTTGGTCTAACATTATTCTGGGTGTGTCTGTGAAGGTGTTTTGGATGAGATCAGCATTTGAATCAGTAGACTGTGTAAAGCAGATTGCCTTCCTGCATGTGGGTGGGCCTCATCCAATCAGTTGAAGGCCTGATTATGGAACAAAAAAGCTGACCCTCCCACAAGTAAGAGGGAACTCCTCCTGCCTGTTGAGCTGGGACATCGATCTTTTACTGCCTTTGGATTTGAACCAAAAACTTTTTGTTGGCTTTTCTTGGGTCTGGCGCCTGTGGGCATTTGGACTGTTAAGACACCATCGGCTCTCCTGAGTCTCCAGCTTGCTAACAACTGCAGATCCTGAGAGTCTCAGTCTCCACACCATGTGAGTCAGTTCCTCATATTAAATCTCTTCTCTCTATATATCTACATCCTATTGGTTCTGTTCTCTGGAGAACTCTGACCAATACAGGGACTCAGTGGGTCAAGAATGGAAGAGGGGACTGTCTTCTGCAGTAGGAGCTACAGAGGTGCTTGGGGGCTCAGTGCCGTTAGAGCTTGCCTTTGCACTCCAGCTGCCCTCCCAGCTGAAGCTCCTAAGGATCGCTTGCAGCTTCTAGTGGAAAGGACGAAGTCATGGGCTCTAAGCTTCAAGTAAAGGAGCAAAGGCCCTCTGAGCGCCCAGCAGCAATTGGCAGCACAGACTCACTTCTCTGGATTCTACTTCTCTCTGAGGTTGTGTGACTTCTTTTTTTTTTTTTTTTAAGATTTTATTTATTTAATTGTCACAGAAAGAGAGATAGCCAGAGAGGGAACACAAGCAGGGGGAGTGGGAGAGGGAGAAGCAAGCTTCCGGCTGAGCAGAGAGCACAATGCGGGGCTCGATCCCAGGACCCTGGGATCATGACCCGAGCCGAAGGCAGACGCTTAACGACTGAGCCACCCAGGCGCCCCTGTGACTTCTTTTTTATTAGCTCTAAATCCAATTATTTCTCAGGCTGGGAAGGGCTCGCCGCCTGTGATACAGCATAAAGCCTCATCTGTGCGGAAGCAATGGGAGATTTCTCAGGAGGAAAAGAAGACCCACATTCCGAGAGTGCCAAGGAACCTCCCTCCTCACAGTCACCTAGAATGCACATGTGTTATCCATCACCATTACCCCAACTCTTCCTCCTGATACAAGGTGGGTTTACCTTGGTACATGGCAGGAGAAATTGGCCAACTGACGCCCAGAGCCTCGTCCTCTCGAAATGTCTCACAGAAGTCCTGCAGCATGGCCATGCCCAGGCCTTGGCGACGGTACGTCCTCCTGACAAACACGGTGTCGAAGACAGGCAGCAGGTAGCACACACCTGTGCCATCACCACACAGGCTGCCTGCAGGGAGAGGAAGTGACATGCACTGGCCCCAGACTTGCACCAAGCTGCCAGAACCCTGCGGAATGCCCGCACAGCCGGGTCATTGGTACCACCTGGAAGAAGGGCTCACATCACTGACGAAACAACCTGACAAGACAGCAGAGCCTCCCAAACCACCAGTTCTCCCCAGCTGGCGGGTCAGCCCACATGTGATTGATCACTGGGAGGACAGCCACCAGACTACTGCACTGAAATGAAAAGCAAACCCAGGTGAATGGACCATTCATGCACCCAAGACCCTGAGATGCTGCCCTCACCGCGCACAGTTCACAGAGACACTTGAAGCCAATGAGAAGCATCTGGGCGACATCGAAGTTCTCCATGAACCCAGGCTGTACGGGCTGGGAGATCCACCCAATACATCTCTAGGGCATGGACTTGTTTTGGTAACTCTAACAAGGGGTCATCCTGTCCTATTAAGGCAAAGTACATTTACCCCGAATAGACTAAGTCCTGTTTCCCCTACAATATCAATGACCTTGCTATAGCAGAGCAGGGGAGGTGACAGTTGGCACCCTTCCCACTTTTCTTTTTTTCTTTTTTTTTTTTTAAAGATTTTATTTATTTATTTGACAGAGAGACACGGCGAGAGAGGAAACAAGCAGGGGGAGTGGGAGAGGGAGAAGCAGGCTTCCCGCGGAGCAGAGAGCCTGATGCGGGGCTCGATCCCAGGACCCTGGGACCATGACCTGAGCCGAAGGCAGACGCTTAACCACTGAGCCACCCAGGCGCCCCCTTTCCCACTTTTCTACCCTGAACTGAACTTCACTGCAACCAGCACCAATACCAGCACAGTTGCTGTTTCTGCAATGGGAGCTTAGTGTTGCAGCCAGTTGCCTCTGTCATCACCCTAACCAGAAAATCGGTGCTACCTGGAGCCTACCACATCATCTTTCTCTCTTCCAAGCTGCATAGGGGCCTGTGTCCTAGATGCACTAGAGTCCAGGAGAAGAAGTATGTAGCATATTCAGCTCCTATTGGAAAAAGAGGTATTCATCCCCACCAAGATTCAGAAGGTGGGTAATCTCCCAAACAAAAAACTGACTCCAATTCTAATCGGCCAGACTGAGTTGCAGAGACACATGCTACCATAATAACTGCAAAAATGGCCACAGTTATTACCCCTCCTGTATCCACATCCCTTTACATGTGGTTCTGAAGCACCTGCCATCAAGAGATGGGGTCTGGCCACATAGGGTCCAGTGCCCATCTGTTCTCTCTCATATCCCTGCCACTCACCCCAAGAACAAATCTGGACTAGCCTGTCACCATGAAAGAAACATGGCCTGGGCACCCTTGTGGTCCCAGCAAACATCGAGCCATCCCCAAAAAGCAGAGCCACCTACTGGATGGGCTAAAACCCATGGAAACTGTCAATCAAAAGGATGGTGAGCTGAATGGTTGGTTTTGTGGGAAAATGAATGAAATAAATAATCTGTGGCCAGTGATCAATACCACCAAATTCACTTGAGATGGTGATTGTAGAGTATTTGAATTTCACCTTCATTGTTCTTGAAATGATAGTACAAACTTGGATTGGAATTCGATAACTTCCAACTTCTACAGACAATGAGAACAACATTCCCCAAATGATAAAGTCTTCCAAAGCTGAAAAGGTTTAATGTTAAATAAAAATACAATTCCATTCATGATAGCCTTAAAAAAGAGTCGGTATTTAGGAATATATTTAAACAAAAGAAGCTCAAATCTTGAATACTGAAAAACTAGCAAACATTGTCAAGGGAAATTAAAGAAAATCTAAATAAATGGAGACATTCCATGTTCATGGATTGGATGACTCAATACTGTTAAGATGGCAATTCTTCCCAAACTGGTCTGTAAGTTCAATGCCTATCAAAATCTTAGCAGGCATTTTCTTTTTTTAAGAGAGAGTGAGAGGGAGGGCAGGGGGTGGGGAGGGAGGGAAAGGGACAGAGGGAGAGGGAGAGAGGGAATCTTAAGCAGGCTCCACACCCAGCATAGAGCCCAACACGGGGCTCGATCTCATGACCCTGAGATCATGACCTGAGCTGAAATCAAGAGTCAGACACAATCAACTGAGCCACCCAGGCGCCCCACCAGCAGGCATTTTTGTGGACACTGACAAGCTGATACTAATATTGACATGAAATGCAAAGTCTCTACAATAAGCAACCCAGTTCTGAAAAAGAAGAGTAAAGTTGGAAGTTTTACACTACCCAATTTCAAGGTTTCTTATAAAATCAAGGCAGGCAAGCCAGTGGGATACTGGTGCAAGGATAGGCACATACATCAGTGGAACAGAAATGAGTCCAGAAATAAACTCTTACACTTTGAACTTCAACAAAGGTGCCCTTTTCAAATGAGGAAAAGACAGTCTTTTCAACAAATGGTGGTGGGATGACTGGATATTGATAAATCAAAAAAAAAATTTTTTTTTTAAGGGAAGAAGCTGGAACAGAACAGAAAGCCCAGAATTAGACCCACACAAATATAGTCAACTGATCTTTGACAAACGAGCAAAGTAAAGTCAATGGAGAAAGGACAGTCCCAGTAAGTGATACTGGACAACTGGATATCCACATGAAAAAATAATAATAATAATCTAGACACAGACCTTAAACCCTTCAAAAAATTTGCCTTAAAATGAATCACAGACATACATATAAAACGCAAAACTACAAAACTCCTAGAAAATAACACAAGAGAGGGGCACCTGGGTGGCTCAGTCGTTGGGCGTGTCTGCCTTCGGCTCAGGTCATGATCCCAGGGTCCTGGGATCGAGCCCCGCATCAGGCTCCCTGCTCCAGGGGAAGCCTGCTTCTCCCTCTCCCACTCTCCCTGCTTGTGTTCACTCTCTCTCTGTGTCTCTCTCTGTCAAATAAATAAATAAAATCTTAAAAAAAGAAAAGAAAAGAACACAAGAGAATATCTAGATGACCTTGGGTTTAGCGATAAATTTTTTACATACAACAACAAAGGCATGATCCATGAAAGAAAAAACTGACAAGCTGAATTTCATTAAAATTAAAATTTGCTGCTCTGTGAAAGACCATGTCAAAAGAATGAAAAGGCAAGGCATGAACTGGGAAAAAATATTTGCAAAAGACACATTTGTCTGATAAAGAACTGTTATCTGAAATATACAAAGAACTTTAAAAAATCAATTGTAAGAAAACAAACAACTTGATTAAAAAGTAAAAAGTAGACCAGAGATTTTAATAGAGACCTCATCAAAGATGTATACGTACAACAGATGAGCGTATCAAAAGATGCTCCACATTATGTCATCAGATAAATGCCAATTAAACCAACAAGATATCACTGCACACCTAATAGAGTGACCAAATTCCAGAACTGTCAACACCAAATGCTGGTGAGGATGTGGAGCAATAGGAACTCTCATTCATTGTTGGGGGAAATGCAAAATGATACAGCAACTCTGGATGACAGCTTGGTGGTTTTTACAAAAGTAAACATACTCATATAATTCATCAGTTGTGCTCCTTAATACTTATCAAAAGGAGTTGAGAACCGTAATTCAAGATGGATCTAGGCATAAATAGAAGTTAAAACTATAAAGCTTTCAGAAGAAAACATAGAGGAAAATCTTCACAACCTTGGGTTAGTCAGAGAGTTCTTAAATTCAATACCAGAAGCACAATCAATTGACAAATCTGACTTCATTAAAGTTAACTTTTGTACTTCAAAGTTAGACTGCAGAAAATATTTACAAATCACATTTCTGATAAAGGACATATCCAGACTATATAAAGAACTCTAACAATACAATAAAAAGAAAACAACCAATTAAAAATAGACAGATGATCTGAACACTTTTTCAGAGAAGACATACAAACGGTTAATAATCAGTGAAAAGACACTCAACATCATTAACCACTAGGAAAATGAAAATTAAAACCACAATGCAATGCTACTTTTGACCTACTAAAAAATGGCTATAGTCAAGATGACAAGCAGTAATAAATGTTGACAAGATGTGGAGAAATTGAAACCGTCCCATCCGCTGATGGGAATATGTAATGGTAAAGCTACTTTGTCAAATAATTTGACAGTTTCTTAAAGTTAAACATGTGCTTATCAGATGACCCACCAATTCTATTCCTAGGAAGCTAGTATTTGCTACAATTTGGATGAACCTCAAAAACATTAAGTAAAATAAGCCAGACAGAAAACACCACATATTGTATCATTCCATTTAGATGAAATACCCCGGAAAGGCAAATTGATAAAGACAGAGAGCAGACTGGGGGTTGCCTAGAACTGGGGTGGAAACAGAGATTGGCAGCAAACAGGCAACTTTTTGGGGTGATGGAAATATCCAAAACTCTAAATTTTTTAGAAATCCCTTACCATCGGCAAATTTTATGGAGTGTAAAATTATACCTCAACAAAATTGATTTTTAAAAGATTCAATGAATTGTATTAAAATTATTGTATTGGGGCGCCTGGGTGGCTCAGTGGGTTAAGCATCTGACTCTTGGTTTCAGCTCAGGTCATGATCTCACAGTCATGAGATTGAGCCCCACATCTGGCTCCCCACTCAGTGTGGAGTCTGCTTCAGATTCTTTCTCCCTCTCCCTCCCCCTTTGCCCCTCTCTGCTCACATGTTCTCTCTTTTTCAAATAAATAAAATCTTTAAATAAATAATAACAATAAAATTATTACATTGAAATTATATGAAAAAGATACAATCATGTGTAAAAGAGGAAAAATAGTAACTTTACAGTAGAGAAACCTACCAGACACCCCCTTGAGTGATCAGGGTGAGCATTGCCAATAGTAATGTTGGCATCATGTACCTTCACGTGTGATGGAAGCATGTGATTACAAGGACACTTCACTTTCCCCCAAACCCATATCCCACTCTAATCATGTGAAAATATCAGACAGACCTAAATTAAGAGACATTTCACAAATCTCCTGACCAGTACTCTTCAAAAGTGTCCAAGTCATGAAAGACAAGGAGAACAAAGAAATGGTCACAGATCAGACCAGGGAACTAGGACGATCTGAAAACTACATGCAAGGTCGTATCCTGGATCAAACCCTATAAGAGATAAAGGACATTGCTAAAAAATTAACAATGTTAATTTCTTAGGTTTGATCCCCATACCATGGTCATGTATTACCAGTAGGGGGAGGTAGGTGAAGGGTATAACAAGAACTCTGAACTATCTTTGCAACTCTTCTGTAAATCTAAAATTATTTCAAAATAAAAAGCTGGGGGAGGGAGAGAGGCAGAAGAAACAAAAGCATCCCACCAGCCCTTTCTAACAGCTAATCATACCATCAGGTTGGTCAAATAAAATTTATCTTCTAA